GGTGGCAGCCTGCAGGGCAGCACAAGGTGGCAGCCTGCAGGGCAGCACACAAGGTGGCAGCCTGCAGGGCAGCACACAAGGTGGCAGCCTGCAGCATTTTGTAGCAGCCGGATATCCGGTTATCCCGATTACCGACTTTCCCAAAATTTCAGGAGGGGCTAAGCCCCCCCCCAGCCCCCCCCCCCCCCCTGTGGCTCCGCCCCTGTATTGGCCTCACGAATATCGTATGCGCAATGTCTGCATATGCTTCTGAAGCTTGGATGAGTTATCTCTCTCATCTCTTTATCTCATCACTTTCTCTCTCTCTCCCGCGATGCAGTCGTGCAGAGTTCCAGATACGATTCACAGACAGCCAAAATTTGCGGATAGCAAGTTTCGCGAATAACAAGGGTCCCCTGTACAGCAGACTGGGTTAGCCTACCGGGCACTGCAGTGTCCTCCTACGTCATGAATGAGGTTTGGCCAAACATCCCAATATAGGACTGCGGAGCTTGGGGTAATTGTTGGCGCCGGTTCTGGTCGCGGTGATCCCAGGAAAGGGAGAATCTTGGGGCAGATGAAGGAGGAGGGGGGGGGGGGTCCAAATGACACCGAATGCGGCCGCTACCCATCCCTAACACGGTAAACCGGACAATACAGAGAGACGGTTACTGATAGGGTTTCGTTATGGATCTTAAAATAGTTTGAAGATTATTCGTTTTTAATAAAGCCCCGTTCTACACGTGATGTGTCATTACAGATTATTGGGAGACCATCCTGTGGGCAAGCACCTTGATGACGTCTTGCATCATGAGTAGAGAGCGAGACGACACTTTTGTGATGTTGATCGACGTTGGTGACGCGCATTCAGGGTGACCCGGTCGCGGCTGTCGAGAGTCGTGGTCCGCGGCACGAACATCGCTCACATCGCTCGCGACGGACGCCCCGTGGTGTGCTGTTGTCCTTCCCCGCACCGCCTTTCGCATCGATTATAATCGGTGATCAACTGTACGTAGGAATTATGATCGATGATCCGGCGAAACTGCCAAAAGCGCTCCAAAGGCTGTAACCGGTCTGGCGATCGGCTGGCGTCGCGTGCGTGACAAAACAGCCACGCTTGATTTCAGCGTAGAATATACACCGCGTGCAACTTAATGAACATATTGCACGTGTGTCCGCATTCCATGACTAATAATAAATAGAGTGATAGAAACTAAAAAATATACATCGCGATCCGGCGAATAGTGACTTGTGCCATTCAACATTCGGCGGAGCACCGGTGCTAAGCGCTGCATCAGTCCGGCGATCGTCAAACACGTGGTTATGTTGAAACGAGAGCGTGGCACTACGTACATCACCCCACGCAGAGTCTTCGAGATTGGAGTGGTTAAGTACGGTACAGTAAATACGGTAACTTTGTACAGTGTATTTGTCTCTTTGCACGTTTATTTATGACAATTTCACATGGTAAACAAATTGAATACACGAAAAAACACGCACACAACACCTAAAAAAAACATAATGTCATCCAAGAATGTGCAAAAATAAGCAATTTTAAAGAATGATAATTGAGTGATTATCCGGCGTTTTTTTAAATCCGCCGCCCTCGTTCCACCCGAAGCCGCTGGATAATCGATGATCTACTGTATGTATGTAGAACTTCTTTTGCAACGTACGTAGCCAACCATGCTAATTGGAGGTGCAGGAAATGCAATAGGTCAGAAGAGAGCGCACGCCGATTTCATCGTCTTGAAATTCTCAAGCTTTTCTCGGCAAAACTCTTTGCGTCAAACACAACGATTCAACCATGAAAGGCCCTCACAACATCATAATTCCCTGCACCTAGTTGACGGGGACTAATCAAGTGGTATAAATAGAGGGGATTGGTGGCTGGAGATGAGGATACACCGTCCGAGATGCGATAATATGGGGATTGGTGGTTGGGAATGAGGTGGCAGGGATGAGGGGAGGGAATGGGAGAGGGGGCTGTGAGGATAATAGGCGACATCAGAGGAGTGACAGGAGAGAGCTGTGGATGAAGGAGGGAGCTGTGGATGGAGAGGAGAAAGCTGTGGATGAAGGAGAGAGCTGTGGATAGGGAGGAGAGAGCCATGGATAGAGAGGAGAGAGCTGTGGATAGAGAGGAGAGAGCTGTGGATGAAGGAGGGTGTTGTGGATGGAAAGGAGAGAGCTGTGGATGAAGGAGATAGTTGTGTTTCGATTTAAAGCTTTCGTGACTGCAAGGATTCATCTTCTTTGGTTCTTTCGGTAAAGTCACGTAGAATGAGAATAAAATAATAAATTGATCAAATAAAACACAATAATATTCTCACGACGTTTCGGCCACAACACAAGCGGCCTTCATCAGGTGAAGGGACGAGACTGTCTGGAGGACAGCGCTGGAGTGAAAAAGCCACGCTCAGATCGCGACCTTTAAGCTGTCTGAGAAGAAACAAAGCGCCTTGACAAAGGAATTAGCATAGAATTTAGCATTGAAATGGCTGAGTGATTAGCTTGTGACTGGTCACAGAAATGGCTATGTTAAAGTTAAAGCATACACATCTAAAGAGGCACCCCTTGACAAAGGAATTAGCATAGAATTTAGCATTGAAATAGCTAAGTTAAAGCATACACATCCGCAGAGGCACCCCTTGACAAAGGAATTAGCATAGAATTTAGCATTGAAAAAGCTGAGTGATTAGCTTGTAACTGGTCACAGAAATAGCTATGTTAAAGTCAGAGCATACACATTCACAGAGGCACCTAGTACAAAGCAAACAGGAGAATTCAGCATTGAACTAACTATATAGTATTCATTATATATTGTAGTGTACCCAGTTACTGTGAATAGCTCAGATGTGTAGGCCTTGACTTCACCATAGCCATTTCTGTGACCAGTCACAAGCTAATCACTCAGTTATTTCAATGCTAAATTCGCCTAGTTATTTCAATGCTAAATTCTCCTGTTTGATTTGTACTAGGTGCCTCTGTGAATGTGTATGCTCTGACTTTCACATAGCTATTTCTGTGACCAGTTACAAGCTAATCACTCAGCTATTTCAATTCTATGCTAATTCCTTTGTCAAGGGGTGCCTCTGCGGATGTGTATGCTTTAACTTAGCTATTTCAATGCTAAATTCTATGCTAATTCCTTTGTCAAGGGGTGCCTCTGCGGATGTGTATGCTTTAACATAGCCATTTCTGTAACCAGTCACAAGCTAATCACTCAGCCATTTCAATGCTAAATTCTATGCTAATTCCTTTGTCAAGGCGCTTTGTTTCTTCTCACACAGCTTAAAGGTCGCGATCTGAGCGTGGCTTTTTCACTCCAGCGCTGTCCTCCAGACAGTCTCGTCCCTTCACCTGATGAAGGCCGCTTGTGTTGTGGTCGAAACGTCGTGAGAATATTATTGTTACTTTATTTTATCAATTTATTATTTTATTCTCATTCTACGTGACGTTACCGAAAGAATCAAAGAAGAGATAGTTGTGGATAGAAAGGAGAGAGCTGTGGATGAAGGAGGGAGCCGTGGATAGAGAGAGAGAGCTGTGGATAGAGAGGAGAGAGCTGTGGATGAAGAAGGGAGCTGTGGATGGAGAGGAGAAAGCTGGGAATGAAGGAGGTGGCCGTGGATAGAGAGAGCTGTGCATAGAGAGGAGAGAGCTGTGGATAAAGAAGGGAGCTGTGGATGAAGGAGGGAGCTGTGGATGAAGGAGGGAGCTGTGGATAGAGAGGAGAGAGCTGTGGATGGAGGAGGGAGCTGTGGATGAAGGAGGGAGCAGGGGATAGAGAGGAGAGAGCTGTGGATGAAGGCGAGAGCTGTGGATCAAGGAGGGAGCTGTGAATAAAGAGGAGAGAGCTGTGGATGGAGGGAGCTGTGTGTGACGGAGGTGGAATGAAGGGACTAGAACCCTGACCTGTCTACACGTGTTGGTGGGGAGAGTGTCTGCTACAAAAGCATGCACAACTTCACACGGCCTCACTCAACGCACACACCTGCTGGTCTAAATCTACTGCGACAACACGCACCCTCCCAATAGACACATCCCAGAGTACGAAGGCACAATGAACACTTTCCAGACATAACCACCACTGAGTAGCACAACACCACGAACACAACACAGGGACGGTGACATCACCTCGCAGCAGCGCGGTTTGAACCCTAGCGGCTGCACCGATTAAGACCAAATGTGTACTCACAATAAAAAAAAATACTCCACGCCGTCTGGAATAGACGTAAAAATCATCACATCCCCCGTCCTCCCCTGCGAAAACGAGACATAGAGAGGCTTTCCTGGGTAAACAAGCATGATAATAGTTTAACACGTAGGCTTTCGCGACCAATATTATTCACAATAAAAAGTTTTTGGGTTAGATCGCGTTATTTATAAATGTGTCGTAACCCTCCACCACCCGACATGGCCAATCAGCAAAAAAAGTGTCGCGTTGACAAAGGACAAAATAGTTCACTACTTTAGCCCACCGGTGTGTTGAAGAGTGAATCCACAACATTTACAGTTTTTGAGTACGACGTTTCACTGGTAATTGCCCAAAGATGCTGGATGTAATTACCAGCGAAACGTAAAACTAAAGATCGTAATCCGGAACGGCTTTTCCCATTGATTCAATATGAAAAATGAGGGCTGTGTATTTCGGACTGTCGTTCCAACTCTACCTCAACACCTCAAAACGTACACCTTTATCACATTTTGACAATAGAAAAATAACAAAGAACACAAATATTATTAAAACGATTGCAATAATAATTTAAAACAAAAATAATTAACCTGCATTCTTTGGGTCTTTCGGTAAAGCCACGTAGATAGAAAAAATACTTTTTTAAAAATACAACAATAAAAATTATCACGACTTTTCGCCTCAGCAGTTCTCCCGCTATGTTTGTTCACCTGATGACGATTTCTCGCGTTGCGATCGAAACGTCGTGATATTTTTTTTATTTTTTTTACTATTTTTCTGTCTACGTGGCTTTACCGAAAGACCCAAAGAAAAATAATTCCTGCAAATCACGAAAGCTTTAAGTCAAGATTTAATTAACCTGGTTACAAATAAATGTGTATTAAAATAGTTTAATTGGCCACCCATCCCCTCGCACGAGGTGATGGATGGCCAATACCACGCCTGATCACCTCTGTCTCTCCAATGCCGATCTTGACCCACTGCAGCAGGCACTGGTTTAAAGGCCGAATCGATCTACGTGGCCGTCCATAAATGACGTCACGCACCTAGGAGGAGGGGGGGGGGTGGTGAGACATTTGTGACGATGTGTGACGAGGGTGTGGGGGGGGGGAGGTTTGAGAAATGTGACGTCACATCAAAATGTGCAACTTTAAATAAATATAGACAACACGTTCTATTTAATTAAATAGACTTTTTGATGTTTTCTCCTACAACATTAGAGTGCAGCGCCGCATTAAACACACACTACAATGACAATAGTTTAAAGCGATTTGAGGCATGTTTTTTTTTTTTGGGGGGGGGCAGAGCTTTGTGACGTCATATTTGACGGGTTGTCTGACTTTTTGTGACGCCGTATGACTAGGGGCGGGCGGGGGGGGGGGTCAAAAATCGTCCAAAATCGCGTGCCGTCTGAACCGTTCGTGAGGCCCACGATGTATGTGCATGCACATCTACCGAATGTAAGCAACACCTAACACGTGTCTTTCACATGTACACACACACACACGCGCACGTGCGCGTATTCTCTGCCACACTCGCTGGATCTTCTTAATAAACACGGCCAGCCATTGGGGTCAGGTGGTTAACATCCAGCCACCATCACCATCATTGGTGAGATATTCTTAGTTCTTTCGGTAAAGTCACGTTGAAGGGAAACAACAAAATAATAAAATATATATAAAACAATAACAATTCTCACGACGTTTCGACCATAACACAAACGGTCGTCTTCAGGTGTGTCGTGACTTTACCGAAAGAACTAAGAATATGAATTACTGCAGTCACGAAAGCTTTAAATCAAAATTTCATTGGTGAGATGTTTACTACTTCGCCTGGTATACAGGAGGTCATGGGTTCGATCCCGACCCTGCAGGCCTGTACATTTGTAGTTTGCGTGTTGCATGGATTTTTTTCCGTTGTTTCCCGTCCACATTTAGAATAAACATCACGCGTTTAGAGTATTTTGGCTGCTATAAATATTCCACGCAATGATAAGCCACCTTCGTCAAGCGATTATTCGTGACGCTTCTGAAACACAGCTATATATGGCACAGTGGTTCTTAGCTGGTAAAATATTTTTTTTTAAGTTTATAGTGTTTGTTTACCTAATTACTATTTAGCGCTTAACATGTTTAAAGATTAACACTGACTGTGCCGTGCCCCGCTGAGTTTTCTGTTTGCAGCCCCTCCACGCAAAGCTCAGAGGAGTGATCCTCTGAGAGCTGAAATGAGTCGGCCTCGTACTGAAAGTGAGTGTGCACGCGCGTGTGTGTGCGCATGTGTGTGTGCGTGCGTGTGTGCGTGCGTGCGTGTGTGCGTGCGTGTGTGCGTGCGAGGATGCGTGTGTGTTTCAAAGTGTGAGTGTGTGGGCAGCGGTTAATGTCACGGTTAGCGTGCTGCGCTATGAACCTGGCCACGCGAGTTTTATTCCCACTCACGGCCAACACCGGTGACGATTAATCTGAAACCGATCCTGGGCCTCTCCTAGGTCGACTCAGCCTCAAAATGAGTACCTGGTGCCGTGTGTAAACATCGTTATTCGGGAGACAAAGGCGGCCGGACGTGGTACTGGCCACCCACCCCCTCGTGTGCCGTGTCGGCCTTCACAGGTGCTGCTCGCTAACAGCACTTGCCCCGACAGTCTGTTAAGGCTACACGGGGGATCTTTGTCTTTGTGTGTAGGTGCTCGCTAACAGCACTTGCCCCGACAGTCTGTTAAGGCTACACGGGGGATCTTTTGTTTTTGTGTGTGTTGGGGAAGCGGTGGTGTAGCGGTTACCAAAGGGCTGGGTTCCCTGTTTCCCTGCACCAAGGGGATACCATCTCTTAGCAGGGCCTCCGTCCCAGACTGACGTCCCGGACCCCGAGGCCCGCACCCCCATCAGTAGAGCGCGATCCCCGTGTCCATCTCGTACCAGGGGGACCGGGAGGCAGGAGGCCCAGCGGCCCCCCCATACAGCACCACCTCGGAGGACATCTGGGCCAGCCCTGCGGAGACATCGCCGCCACCGCAAGCAACACCATCGTCGTCCGAACCTCATCATCGTCGTCGTCGTCACCGCTTCTCCGGACTCCTCATCGGAATCCCTTTCGCCAGGAGGACAAATTATAACATTGCCTGCCTTTGCCATCGCGCCTACACCACCGGCTCCCCACCACCACCACCACCACACCTCGCCGTCCGACTCTCGCCATGCACTGAAGCTCACGGTGGAACCCTACCCAGCAGCAGAGTCACTGCACTATTATACACTACACTATACACTACACTACTATACACTACACTACTATACACTCCTATACACTACACTATACACTACACTACTATACACTACACTACTATACACTACACTATACACTATACTACTATACACTATTATACACTACACCACTATACACTACTGTACACTACACTACTATACACTACACCACTATACACTCATATACACTACACTACTATACACTACACCACTATACACTCACATACACTACACTACTATACACTACACTATACACTACACTATACACTACTATACACTACACTATACACTACACTACTATACACTGCACTATACACTACTATAAACTACTATACACTACACCACTATACACTACTGTACACTACACTACTAACCACGTCACTATACACAACACTATACACTACTATACACTACACTACTATACACTACACTACACACTACTATACAGTACTATACACAACACTTCTATACACTACACTCACACTACTATACAGGACTATACACAACACTATACACTCCACTACTATACACGTCACTATACACAACACTCCTATACACTACACTACTATACACTATACACTATTATACACTACACTATACACTAGACTACTATACACTACTATACACTACACCACTATACACTACTGTACACTACACTACACACTACTATACAGGACTATACACAACACTATACACTCCACTACTAAACACGTCACTATACACAACACTACTATACACTATATATACACTATATACTACACTACAATACACTACACTACACACTACTATACAACACTTCTATACACTACACTACTATGTTCATCACAAGTACGTGTGGTTGATGCAGACTTGATTCCCTGTGAGTCTTAACACATTCTTGGTTCTTTCGGTAAAGTCACGTAGAAGGGAAACAATAAAATAATAAAAATATAAAACAATACAATTCTCACGACGTTTCGACCGCAACACAAGCAATCATCATCAGGTGTGAAAACCACAGCAAGAAACGTGAGAATTTTATTGTTTTATATTTTTATTGTTTCCCTTCTACGTGGTGACTTTACCGAAAGAACCAAGAATATGAATACCTGCAGTCACGAAAGCATTAAATAAAAAAGTGAACACCTGTTTCATTGCCAGAAAGGGTAGAACCTCTTATTAGTTTTCATACTTTGAAAGTGGGCAAAAAAGTTCCCGTGATGTGAAACATTACCACTAGCCCGATGTGTGTGTGTGTGTTGTTTTCCCTCCCTTTCATCGGCAATATCGAACAGGGTTCAATCGGTAAACATCGATGCACAAAACACACTCGACAATAACGGAAGCTCCAGGCCAAGTCACGTCCGTTTCAAAACGCGACGTAAATCGGAATTTTTTTGGGCGTCCTAAATCGACGCGCGGCGACGACTCCGCAAGCCGCCAGCCGCCAGCGCTCACCCCCTAGGTGGTGGCTGCGTTCGGGTGGCGCCGGGTCCCTGTGGACACCCTTGCCGGGGTCCGTCTCCTGGTGGGGTCTCGGGGTGCGGGACCGACCCTTCCCCGCGCGGCCGGTGCCCTGGGCGGCGACCGACGGACCCCAGCGCTCCCGGCCCACGTCCTTCTTCAGTCGCTTCTCCTTGGCGCGCCGGTTCTGAAACCACACCTGGGCGGCGTGCACACACGGGGCTCGGCGGAGCACTCGCCCACAGGCTCCCTGTCGCCTGTATACTCCACACTCACGAGCACGAGCACTCACTCACACACTCACTCACACGCACGCACACTCACCCACCGACTCACCCACCCACACACATGTGTCACACACTCACTCACACACCCACTCACCCACCGACTCACCCACCCACACATGTGTCACTTACTCACACGCCCACTCACCCACCGACTCACCCACCCACACATGTGTCACTTACACACTCACTCACACACCCACTCACCCACCCACACATGTGTCACTTACTCACTCACTCACCCACTGACTCACCCACCCACACGTGTCACTTACACACTCACTCACCCACCCACTCACTCACACACCCACTCACCCACTGACTCACCCACCCACACATGTGTCACTTACACACTCACTCACCCACCCACTCACTCACACACACACTCACCCACCGACTCACCCACCCACACACATGTGTCACACACTCACTCACACACCCACTCACCCACCGACTCACCCACCCACACATGTGTCACTTACTCACTCACACGCCCACTCACCCACCGACTCACCCACCCACACATGTGTCACTTACACACTCACTCACACACCCACTCACCCACCCACACATGTGTCACTTACTCACTCACTCACCCACTGACTCACCCACCCACACGTGTCACTTACACACTCACTCACCCACCCACTCACTCACACACCCACTCACCCACTGACTCACCCACCCACACATGTGTCACTTACACACTCACTCACCCACCCACTCACTCACACACTCACTCACCCACTGACTCACCCACCCACACATGTGTCACTTACACACTCACTCACCCACCCACTCACTCACACACCCACTCACCCACTGACTCACCCACCCACACATGTGTCACTTACACACTCACTCACCCACCCACTCACTCACACACCCACTCACCCACCGACTCACCCACCCACACATGTGTCACTTACACACACACTCACCCACCCACTCACTAACACACCCACTCACCCACCGACTCACCCACCCACACATGTGTCACTTACACACTCACTCACCCACCCACTCACTCACACACCCACTCACCCACTGACTCACCCACCCACACATGTGTCACTTACACACTCACTCACTCACCCACCCACCCACTCACCCACCCACACATGTGTCACTTACACACTCACTCACCCACCCACTCACTCACACACCCACTCACCCACTGACTCACCCACCCACACATGTGTCACTTACACACTCACTCACCCACCCACTCACACACCCACTCACCCACCGACTCACCCACCCACACATGTGTCACTTACACACACACTCACCCACCCACTCACTAACACACCCACTCACCCACCGACTCACCCACCCACACATGTGTCACTTACACACTCACTCACCCACCCACTCACTCACACACCCACTCACCCACTGACTCACCCACCCACACATGTGTCACTTACACACTCACTCACTCACCCACCCACTCACTCACACACCCACCGACTCACCCACCCACACATGTGTCACTTACACACTCACTCACCCACCCACTCAATCACTCACCCATTCATTCACCCACCCACTAATTCACCCACCCACACTCACTCACCACCCACCTACCAACTCACCAACTCACTCACCCACCCACTCAATCACTCACCCATTCATTCACCCACCCACACTCACTCACCACACACCTACCAACTCACTCAATCACCCACCCACTCAATCACTCACCCATTCATTCACCCACCCACTAATTCACCCACCTACTCACTCACCACACACCTACCAACTCACTCAACCACCCACCCACTCAATCACTCACCCATTCATTCACCAACCCACTAATTCACCCACCCACACTCACTCACTCACCACCCACCTAACAACTCACCCACTCACTAATTCACCCACCCACTCACCCACTCATTCACCACCAACTCACCCACTCACTCATTCACCCATCCACTCACCCACTCACTCACCCAACAACCCACCTACCCACTCACTCATTCACCCACCCACCCACTCACCCACCCACGCGCTCACCTGCACCACCCGCATGTCGAGGCCGGTCTCGCTGGCGAGCCGCTCCCGCACGTGGCGCGGGGGTTTGGGCGTCGCTTTGTAGGCCCCGCGCAGCGCCTCGAGCTGCCGCGCGCAGATCGTGGTGCGAGGCCGCTTGATCGGCCCCTCAGCGGCGCCCGGCGGGTCTGCGCGGCACGGTTACAGCACGGTTACAGCACGGTTACGGCACGGTACGGTTACGGTAAAGTAATGTACGGCACGGTTACGGCACGGTACGGTTATGGCAAAGTAATGTACGGCACGGTACGGTTACGGCACGGGGGTGAGGGAGGTGGGGGCGAGAAGGTGAAGGAGGTGGGGGCGAGGGGGTGAGGGTGGTGAGGGAGGTGATGGTGGTGAGGGAGGTGATGGTGGTGATGGTGGTGAGGGTGGTGAGGGTGGTGAGGGAGGTGATGGTGGTGAGGGAGGTGAGGGTGTTGAGGGTGGTGAGGGTGGTGATGAAGGTGATGGTGGTGAGGGTGGTGAGGGTTGTGAGGGTGGTGAGGGTGGTGATGGTGGTGAGGGAGGTGATGGTGGTGAGGGTGGTGAGGGTGGTGATGGTGGTGAGGGAGGTGAGGGAGGTGATGGTGGTGAGGGTGGTGAGGGAGGTGAGGGTGGTGAGGGTGGTGAGGGTGGTGAGGGAGGTGGGGGTGGTGAGGGTGGTGAGGGAGGTGAGGGAGGTGAGGGAGGTGATGGTGGTGAGGGAGGTGAGGGTGGTGATGGTGGTGAGGGTGGTGAGGGTGGTGAGGGTGGTGAGGGAGGTGAAGGAGGTGGGGGCGAGGGGGTGAGGGAAGTGAGGGAGGTGAGGGTGGTGAGGGAGGTGAGGGTTGTGATGGTGGTGAGGGTGGTGAGGGTGGTGAGGGTTGTGATGGTGGTGAGGGTGGTGATGGTGGTGATGGTGGTGAGGGAGGTGAGGGAGGTGGGGGTGGTGAGGGAGGTGAGGGAGGTGAGGGTGGTGATGGTGGTGATGGTGGTGAGGGAGGTGAGGGTGGTGAGGGTGGTGAGGGTGGTGAGGGAGGTGATGGTGGTGAGGGTGGTGAGGGTGGTGAGGGAGGTGAGGGAGGTGAGGGTGGTGATGGTGGTGAGGGTGGTGAGGGAGGTGAGGGTGGTGAGGGTGGTGAGGGAGGTGATGGTGGTGAGGGAGGTGATGGTGGTGAGGGAGGTGAAGGAGGTGGGGGCGAGGGGGTGAAGGAGGTGGGGGCGAGGGGTGAGGGTGGTGAGGGTGGTGAGGGAGGTGAGGGAGGTGAGGGTGGTGATGGTGGTGAGGGTGGTGATGGTGGTGAGGGAGGTGAGGGAGGTGGGGGCGAGGGGGCGAGGGAGGTGGAGGCGAGGGGGTGAGGGAGGTGAGGGTGGTGAGGGTGGTGAGGGAGGTGATGGTGGTGAGGGAGGTGATGGTGGTGAGGGAGGTGAGGGTGGTGAGGGTGGTGATGAAGGTGATGGTGGTGAGGGTGGTGAGGGTTGTGAGGGTGGTGAGGGTGGTGAGGGTGGTGAGGGAGGTGATGGTGGTGAGGGTGGTGAGGGTGGTGATGGTGGTGAGGGAGGTGAGGGAGGTGATGGTGGTGAGGGTGGTGAGGGAGGTGAGGGTGGTGAGGGTGGGGAGGGAGGTGGGGGTGGTGAGGGTGGTGAGGGAGGTGAGGGAGGTGAGGGAGGTGATGGTGGTGAGGGAGGTGAGGGTGGTGATGGTGGTGAGGGTGGTGAGGGTGGTGAGGGTGGTGAGGGAGGTGAAGGAGGTGGGGGCGAGGGGGTGAGGGAGGTGAGGGAGGTGAGGGTGGTGAGGGAGGTGAGGGTTGTGATGGTGGTGAGGGTGGTGAGGGTGGTGAGGGTTGTGATGGTGGTGAGGGTGGTGATGGTGGTGAGGGAGGTGAGGGTGGTGAGGGTGGTGAGGGTGGTGAGGGAGGTGATGGTGGTGAGGGTGGTGATGGTGGTGAGGGAGGTGAGGGAGGTGGGGGTGGTGAGGGAGGTGAGGGTGGTGATGGTGGTGATGGTAGTGAGGGAGGTGAGGGTGGTGAGGGTTGTGATGGTGGTGAGGGTGGTGATGGTGGTGAGGGAGGTGAGGGTGGTGAGGGTGGTGAGGGTGGTGATGGTGGTGAGGGTGGTGATGGTGGTGAGGGTGGTGAGGGAGGTGAGGGTGGTGAAGGTGGTGAGGGAGGTGATGGTGGTGAGGGAGGTGATGGTGGTGAGGGAGGTGAAGGAGGTGGGGGCGAGGGGGTGAAGGAGGTGGGGGCGAGGGGTGAGGGTGGTGAGGGTGGTGAGGGAGGTGAGGGAGGTGAGGGTGGTGATGGTGGTGAGGGTGGTGATGGTGGTGAGGGAGGTGAGGGAGGTGGGGGCGAGGGGGCGAGGGAGGTGGAGGCGAGGGGGTGAGGGAGGTGAGGGTGGTGATGGTGGTGATGGTGGTGATGGTGGTGATGGTGGTGAGGGTGGTGAGGGTGCTAGAGCGAGTGGGTGCAGGGTCGCGATGAGCACCGCCGGGCTCCGCGTGTTGGCGCTGAGCGGTGGTTCCCGACGGCCCGTGGTGAGGGTGAGCATGCGGCGGCAGTTGTTGTTGTTGGTGAGGGTGAGGGTGGTGAGGGTGGTGAGGGTGAGCAGACGGCAGGTGTGCCAGGCACACGAGGCGCGCGTCTGGCAGCAGCAGGAAGCGATCTCCAGTCAGCAGTGGCCGCGCGCAGGCGGAGCAGGCGAAGCAGCGCGCGTGGTAGAGGCGCTCCCGGGCGCGTCTCACCGCCTCGCCCGGGGCGATGCCCTGGGAGCAGGCGGAGCAGCGAGTGCCGAACCGCCTGCGGTGGGGAGGGGGGGGGGAGGGGAGGGGAAGGGGGCACCCAGCCAGAGGGCGGGGGAGAGGGGGGGGGTGTAGAGGGGGGGAGACGTGGGTGGGAGGGAGATGTGGAGGGGGGGGGGACGTGGGTGGGAGGGAGATGTGGAGGGGGGGAGACGTGGAGGGGGGTGGAGACGTGGAGGGGGGGGGAGACGTGGAGGGGGGGGTGGAGACGTGGAGGGGGGGGGTGGAGACGTGGAGGGGGGGGGGAGACGTGGAGGTGGAGGGGATGTAGAGGGGAGGAGACGTGGGTGGGAAGGAGATGTGGAGGGGGGGGGAGACGTGGGGGGGGGAGACGTGGGGGGGGGGGGACGTGGGGGGGAGATGTGGAGGGGGGGGGAGACGTGGAGGTGGGGGTGGAGACGTGGAGGGGGGAGATGTGGAGGTAGGGGGGGGAGACGTGGGGGGGGGGGGGTGGTGACACAGGGATACAGCGAGACACAATTCCACGTGGACAGAGACACGGGGGGTAGGGGGTGGTGGTGGTGGTGGTGACACGGCGAGACGTAACGGGGTCACATTCGGTCACAGTCTCAGAGCAAGAGTTTGACGCCCGTCCATCGGACAACCGCCTCGCGGGCCCGGGAACACGACGACGTCTCGAACCCGTGCCACGCAGCGCTGGTTCATCGCAAGGGTCACTGGTGGCAGTGCCGGGCCTGTAGAGCACGTGTCGTTCGTAAGTCGAAGGCAGTGTAGTGCTATAGCACGTGTTGTTCGTAAGTCGAAGGCAGTGTAGTGCTATAGCACGTGTCGTTCGTAAGTCGAAGTCAGTGTAGTACTATAGCACGTGTCGTTCGTAAGTCGAAGGCAGTGTAGTACTATAGCACGTGTCGTTCGTAAGTCGAAGGCAGTGTAGTACTATAGCACGTGTCGTTCGTAAGTCGAAGGCAGTGTAGTGCTATAGCACGTGTCGTTCGTAAGTCGAAGTCAGTGTAGTACTATAGCACGTGTCGTTCGTAAGTCGAAGGCAGTGTAGTACTATAGCACGTGTCGTTCGTAAGTCGAAGGCAGTGTAGTACTATAGCACGTGTCGTTCGTAAGTCGAAGGCAGTGTAGTGCTATAGCACGTGTCGTTCGTAAGTCGAAGGCAGTGTAGTACTACAGTACGTTTCGTTCGTAAGTCGAAGGCAGTGTGGTACTATAGCACGTGTCGTTCGTAAGTCGAAGGCAGTGTAGTACTATAGCACGTGTCGTTCGTAAGTCGAAGGCAGTGTAGTGCTATAGCACGTGTCGTTCGTACGTTGAAGGCAGTGTAGTACTATAGTACGTTTCGTTCGTAAGTCGAAGGCAGTGTAGTGCTATAGCACGTGTCGTTCGTAAGTCGAAGGCAGTGTAGTACTATAGCACGTGTCGTTCGTAAGTCGAAGGCAGTGTAGTACTATAGCACGTGTCGTTCGTAAGTCGAAGGCAGTGTAGTGCTATAGCACGTGTCGTTCGTACGTTGAAGGCAGTGTAGTACTATAGCACGTGTCGTTCGTAAGTCGAAGGCAGTGTAGTACTATAGCACGTGTCGTTCGTAAGTCGAAGGCAGTGTAGTACTATAGCACGTGCCGTTCGTAAGTCGAACGCAGTGTAGTGCTATAGCACGTGTCGTTCGTAAGTCGAAGGCAGTGTAGTACTATAGCACGTGTCGTTCGTAAGTCGAAGGCGGTGTAGTGCTATAGCACGTGTCGTTCGTAAGTCGAAGGCAGTGTAGTACTACAGCACGTGTCGTTCGTAAGTCGAAGGCAGTGTAGTACTATAGCACGTGTCGTTCGTAAGTCGAAGGCAGTGTAGTGCTATAGCACGTGTCGTTCGTAAGTCGAAGGCAGTGTAGTACTATAGCACGTGTCGTTCGTAAGTCGAAGGCAGTGTAGTACTATAGCACGTGCCGTTCGTAAGTCGAAGGCAGTGTAGTACTATAGCACGTGTCGTTCGTAAGTCGAAGGCGGTGTAGTGCTATAGCACGTGTCGTTCGTAAGTCGAAGGCAGTGTAGTACTATAGCACGTGTCGTTCGTAAGTCGAACGCAGTGTAGTGCTATAGCACGTGTCGTTCGTAAGTCGAAGGCAGTGTAGTACTATAGCACGTGTCGTTCGTAAGTCGAAGGCAGTGTAGTACTATAGCACGTGTCGTTCGTAAGTCGAAGGCAGTGTAGTACTATAGCACGTGTCGTTCGTAAGTCGAAGGCAGTGTAGTGCTATAGCACGTGTCGTTCGTAAGTCGAAGGCAGTGTAGTACTATAGCACGTGTCGTTCGTAAGTCGAAGGCAGTGTAGTACTATAGCACGTGTCGTTCGTAAGTCGAAGGCAGTGTAGTGCTATAGCACGTGTCGTTCGTAAGTCGAAGGCAGTGTAGTACTATAGGCACGTGTCGTTCGTAAGTCGAAGGCAGTGTAGTACTATAGCACGTGTCGTTCGTAAGTCGAAGGCAGTGTAGTACTATAGCACGTGCCGTTCGTAAGTCGAAGGCAGTGTAGTACTATAGCGCGTGTCGTTCGTAAGTCGAAGGCAGTGTAGCACTATAGCACGTGCCGTTCGTAAGTCGAAGGCAGTGTAGTACTATAGCACGTGTCGTTCGTAAGTCGAAGGCAGTGTAGTGCTATAGCACGTGTCGTTCGTAAGTCGAAGGCAGTGTAGTGCTATAGCACGTGTCGTTCGTAAGTCGAAGGCAGTGTAGTACTATAACACGTGTCGTTCGTAAGTCGAAGGCAGTGTAGTACTATAGCACGTGTCGTTCGTAAGTCGAAGGCAGTGTAGTGCTATAGCACGTGTCGTTCGTAAGTCGAAGGCAGTGTAGTAACTATAGCACGTGTCGTTCGTAAGTCGAAGGCAGTGTAGTACTATAGCACGTGTCGTTCGTAAGTCGAAGGAAGTGTAGTACTATAGCACGTGTCGTTCGTAAGTCGAAGGCAGTGTAGTACTATAGCACGTGTCGTTCGTAAGTCGAAGGCAGTGTAGTGCTATAGCACGTGTCGTTCGTAAGTCGAAGGCAGTGTAGTACTATAGCACGTGTCGTTTGTAAGTTGAAGGCAGTGTAGTACTACAGCACGTGTCGTTCGTAAGTCGAAGGCAGTGTAGTACTATAGCACGTGTCGTTCGTAAGTTGAAGGCGGTGTAGTACTATAGCACGTGTCGTTCGTAAGTCGAAGGCAGTGTAGTACTATAGCACGTGTCGTTCGTAAGTCGAAGGCAGTGTAGTACTATAGCACGTGTCGTTCGCAAGTCGAAGGCAGTGTAGTACTATAGCACGCGTCGTTCGTAAGTCGAAGGCAGTGTAGTACTATAGCACGTGTCGTTCGTAAGTCGAAGGCAGTGTAGTACTATAGCACGTGTCGTTCGTAAGTTGAAGGCAGTGTAGTACTATAGCACGTGTCGTTCGTAAGTCGAAGGCAGTGTAGTACTATAGCACGTGTCGTTCGTAAGTCGAAGGCAGTGTAGTACTATAGCACGTGTCGTTCGTAAGTTGAAGGCAGTGTAGTACTATAGCACGTGTCGTTCGTAAGTTGAATGCAGTGTAGTACTATAGCACGTGTCGTTCGTAAGTCGAAGGCAGTGTAGTACTATAGCACGTGCCGTTCGTAAGTTGAAGGCAGTGTAGTACTATAGCACGTGTCGTTCGTAAGTCGAATGCAGTGTAGTACTATAGCACGTGTCGTTCGTAAGTTGAAGGCAGTGTAGTACTACAGCACGTGTCGTTCGTAAGTCGAAGACAGTGTAGTACTATAGCACGTGTCGTTCATAAGTTGAAGGCGGTGTAGTACTATAGCACGTGTCGTTCGTAAGTCGAAGGCAGTGTAGTACTATAGCACGTGTCGTTCGTAAGTCGAAGGCAGTGTAGTACTATAGCACGTGTCGTTCGTAAGTTGAAGGCAGTGTAGTACTATAGCACGTGTCGTTCGTAAGTTAAATGCAGTGTAGTACTATAGCACGTGTCGTTTGTAAGTCGAAGGCAGTGTAGTACTATAGCACGTGCCGTTCGTAAGTTGAAGGCAGTGTAGTACTATAGCACGTGTCGTTCGTAAGTCGAAGGCAGTGTAGTACTATAGCACGTGTCGTTCGTAAGTTGAAGGCAGTGTAGTACTACAGCATGTGTCGTTCGTAAGTCGAAGACAGTGTAGTACTATAGCACGTGTCGTTCGTAAGTTGAAGGCAGTGTAGTACTATAGCACGTGTCGTTCGTAAGTCGAAGGCAGTGTAGTACTATAGCACGTGTCGTTCGTAAGTCGAAGGCAGTGTAGTACTATAGCACGTGTCGTTCGTAAGTCGAAGGCAGTGTAGTACTATAGCACGTGTCGTTCGTAAGTTGAAGGCAGTGTAGTACTATAGCACGTGTCGTTCGTAAGTCGAAGGCAGTGTAGTACTATAGCACGTGTCGTTCGTAAGTCGAAGGCAGTGTAGTACTATAGCACGTGTCGTTCGTAAGTCGAAGGCAGTGTAGTACTATAGCACGTGTCGTTCGTAAGTTGAAGGCAGTGTAGTACTATAGCACGTGTCGTTCGTAAGTCGAAGGCAGTGTAGTACTATAGCACGTGTCGTTCGTAAGTCGAAGGCAGTGTAGTACTATAGCACGTGTCGTTCGTAAGTTGAAGGCAGTGTAGTACTATAGTAATAGAGCAAGTGCAGAATCACCAACCCGGAATTGCTAGCTCGAAAGCATTTAGCGCTGGGCCCTTGAAAGTACGGGGCCCGTAGCTACTACTACACGTGCTATAGTACTACACTGCCTTCAGCAGCTACTACACGTGTAGCTGCTACTACATAACACACAAAGAGGATGTAGTAGCTACTACACGTGTAGCAGCTACTACTACACGTGTAGTAGCAACACGTGTAGTAGTCGCTACTACGGTAGCGACTACTACAGTAGCTACGACACGTGTTGTAGCTACTACATAATAGACAAAGCGTGAGAATACCACCACCACCCCCCCACACCCACACACACTCCGCCACCTTTGGGGTAGGAACATCGGGAACTAGACCCGGGACAAGCGTGCGGAGTAGGAGGAGGCCATTGCTGGGAGCTGACGCTGAGAGAGAGACACACACACAGCTGAACATTGTCCTGTATGTACGTTGAACTTCTTTCGCACCGTACGTAGCCAACCGTGCTAATCGGAGGTGCAGGAGCATAGCCCGGGGCATCACGGTGGCTAGGAGATGTTAACTTCCTCGCCAGGTGTACAGGAGGTCGTGGGTTCGATCCCAACCTTGACGCATGCTGCTGTATATTTGGAGTTTGCATGTCTCTCTCATCATCATCACGGTGGCTAGTAGATGTTAACTACCTTGCCTGGTGTACACGAGGTCGTGGGTTCGATCCCGGCCCTGACGGCTGCTGCTGAATATTTCGAGTTTGCGTGTCTCTCTCCCCGTGGTCTCGTGGATTTTTCTCCGGGTCCTCCGAGTTCGCTGCTATAAATGCCCCCACACGATGATGGTGGCGAAGATGATGACACCATTCGTTGGGCTATCATTTGTGATGGCAAGGTCGCTTCTGAAACATGGCTAAACATCGCTTGATTTGAAGCTTTCGTGACTGCAGGAATCCGTACTCTCTGGTTCTTTCGGTAAAGTCACGTGGGTAGAAAAAAATAATCGACGTTGGGCTATCGTTTGTGATGGTGAGGTCGCTTCTGATAAATAAATAAATAAGCTACGCAGCTCAGTTGGGGCCTTACCTGGCACGATGTTTTTTTGTTGTTGTTACAATTTAGCAATCTTTGGAAGATCGTAATCAACCAGGTAGGGTGTTGAACTGTTGCGTTGGCCGACTCTCTGTGTTGCATTGTATTGCATTATATTTCTAACTCTGGGGTTTTATTCGGTAAAGTCACGTCGGTAAGATAAAATAAAACTAAATTAAATCACGACGTTTCGGAGGCAACACAAGCTTCCGTCTTCAGGTGGAACAGTCACGGCAGAATATCTGCGTCAAGTGCACAGTTCCTAGACGACTTGGAGGAGCCAGAAAGGAACGTGGGCGGGTGGGAGGGCTCAGTTAAGCCGCCTTTTGTTAAACTGCAGGGGGGTTCGGGGCGGGAGGGGTGGTGCACTGCACACAAGCAAGACATCAGGTACAGACCAATTTTTGAAAAACTAAAATGAAAACTTGCGAAAACGGCTGTACAATTATCAGGCAGCTAAAGTTTGACATACAGCCGCTGAGAAGTGGAAATGGCCGTACAATTAAAAGGCAGCTAACGTTCGACTTGATTTAGAACATCTTTCCATTGGTTGCTCAAAAGGCGGCTTAACTCAGCCATCTGACCCCCCCACGTTCCTTTCTGGCTCCCCCCCCCCCCCTGACCTATATATAATCCAAGTCGTCTCGGAACTGTGCACTTGACACAGATATTCTGCTGTGACTGTTCCACCTGAAGACGGAAGCTTGTGTTGCCTCCGAAACGTCGTGATTTAATTGTTTTATTTTATTTTTTACCTACGTGACTTTACCGAATAAAACCAAAAGAGTATGAATCCTTGCAGTCACGAAAGCTTCAAATCTAGAATTCTATTTCTAAGTTTACTAGATTATTATTCTTGGTTCTTTCGGTAAAGTCATGTAGAAGGGAAACAATAAAATCATAAAAATATAAAACAATTAAATTCTCACGACGTTTCGACTGCAACACAAGCAATCATCATCAGGTGTGAAAACCACTTTGGTGATAATTGCATTGTTTTATATTTTTGTTAATTATTTTATTGTTTCCCTTCTACGTGGTGACTTTACCGAAAGAACCAAGAATATGAATCCCTGCAGTCACGAAAGCTTTAAATCAAAATTTCCTAGGTTCATTTGCGCCTGATGATGGTTGCTTGTGTTGCAACCGAAACGTCGTGTTCTATTATTTAATTTATTTTCTTTCTACGTGACTTCACCGAAAGAAAGAGTAATGTTTTTTTTGTTTGTAGATTAATTGGCTAAGAACAGTTTAACAAGAGGGTTAGATCGCGTACATATAAGCGTGTTGTTGAACCCGCCACCACCCGACACAACCAATTAGTTAGGGGCCGTCCATAAATGACGTCACGCGATTTTGGACGATTTTTGACTCCCCCCCCCCCCCCTTCGTCACGCGACGTCACGAAAAGTGAGCCCCCCCCTCAAATATGACGTCACAAAGCTCTGCCCCCCCCCAAAAAAAATAAAACACGCTTCAAATCGCTTTAAGCTATTGTCATTGTAGTGCGTATTTAATGTGGCGCTGCACTCCGATGTTGTTGGAGAAAACATCAAAAAGTATATTTAATTATTATCTAAAGTTGCGCATTTCGATGTGACGTCACTTTTCTCAAATAACCCCCCCCCCCCTCGTCACACATCGTCACAAATGTCTGACCCCCTCCCCCCCTCCCCCCAGGTGCGTGACGTCATTTATGGACGGCCGCTAAGGTTTGCCACGTTAAGAAAACCCTTGCCAATTCGTTAATCGTGCAGCAAACAGCGGCGCGCTGGAGAATAAACCCACGACGTTCAAGGATGCGCGTGCGACGTTCCGCCGAGTCGGAGGAGTCGGTGTCATGGCAGCTCACGACGGGGCTGTGGTCAAGGGGATCGTGGCGGAAGTTGGGAATCGCCCCTGGCACGGGACGCCCCCCAGAGTCGTGAGAGCGCCTCCATGCCCGCGGAATGGAGCGAAGAAGACCTGTCGGCTGACGTGGATTTGGCGAGGCCTTCATCCAGCAGCGGATTTGATGCTGGCTACTGGTCACGACGTTGTCATTTCACACTTAACATTCAGCACGCGTCTCCCCACGTGTCTCCCCAAGTGTCTCCCGTGTCTCCCCACATCTCCCCCGTGTCTCCCAGCGTCTCTCAACACGTCTCTCCCCACGTCTCCCCGTGTCTCCCCACGTGTCTCCCCACGTGTCTCCCGTGTCTCCCCACATCTCCCCCGTGTCTCCCCACGTGTCTCCCCACGTGTCTCCCCACGTGTCTCCCCACATCTCCCCCGTGTCTCCCCACGTCTCTCAACACGTCTCTCCCCACGTCTCCCCGTGTCTCCCCCCCACGTCTCCCCGTGTCTCCCCCCACGTCTCCCCCGTGTCTCCCCACATCTCCCCCGTGTCTCCCGTGTCTCCCCACGTCTCCCCACATCTCCCCCGTGTCTCCCCGTGTCTCCCCACGTCGGCCCCGTGTCTCCCCACGTCTCCCCCGTGTCTCCACAGGTGTCTCCCCCGTGTCTCCCCACGTCTCCCCAGTGTCTCCCCACGTCTCCCCAGTGTCTCCCCACATCTCCCCCGTGTCTCCCCACATCTCCCCCGTGTCTCCCCGTGTCTCCCCACGTCTCCCCAGTGTCTCCCCCGTGTCTCCACAGGTGTCTCCCCCGTGTCTCCCCACGTCTCCCCAGTGTCTCCCCACGTCTCCCCAGTGTCTCCCCCGTGTCTCCACAGGTGTCTCCCCCGTGTCTCCCCCGTGTCTCCCCAGTGTCTCCCCCGTGTCTCCACACGTGTCTCCCCACGTCGGCCCCGTGTCTCCACGCTACCTGAAGAAGTCGTCTCGGCAGAAGAGCCTCCCGTCTCGCGAGTAGCAGGAGTCTGTGAGTCGCTCGCCGCACTCGGCACAGCGCAGACAGCGCGGGTGCCAGGCTAGGTCCACCGCGCGGAGCAAGAAGCGGCCGTGGATGCGCGCGGAGCAACCAGCGCACACGGGGACACCTGGACATGCGTGAGGAGACACGGGGGGCGGGGGCAGGGGAGACACGGGGAGGGGGGGACACGGGGCGTGTTAGACGCGGGGACACACTTGAGAGACGTGGAGACACACTTGGGAGACGTGGAGACACACTTGGGAGACGAGGCGACACACTTGGGGGACGTGGAGACACACTTGGGAGACGTGGGGATGCACTTGGGAGACGTGGAGACACACTTGGGAGACGTGGGGACACACTTGGGAGACGTGGAGACACACTTGGGAGACGTGGAGACGCACTTGAGTGACGTGGGGACACCGTTTTGAGACGTGGAGACACACTTGGGAGACGTGGGGACACACTTGGGAGACGCGGGGACGCATTTGGGAGACGCGGAGACACACTTGGGAGACGTGGAGACACACTTGGGAGACGTGGAGACACACTTGGGAGACGCAGGGACACACTGGGGAGACGTGGAGACACACTTGGGAGACGAGGGGACACACTTGGGAGACGCGGACACACACTTGGGAGACATGGAGACACACTTGGGAGACGTGGAGACACACTTGGGAGACGTGGAGACACACTTGGGAGACGTGGAGACACACTTGGGAGACGTGGGGACACACTTGGGAGACGTGGAGACACACTTGGGAGACGCGGGGACACACTTGAGAGACGTGGGGACACCGTTGGGAGACGTGGAGACACACTTGGGAGACGTGGGGACACACTTGGGAGACGTGGAGACACACTTGGGAGACGCGGGGAAACACTTGGGAGACGTGGGGACACACTTGGGAGACGTGGGGACACACTTGGGAGACGCGGGGACGCACTTGGGAGACGCGGAGACACACTTGGGAGACGTGGAGACACACTTGGGAGACGTGGAGATACACTTGGGAGACGCGGGGACACACTTGGGAGACGTGGAGACCCACTTGGGAGACATGGAGACACACTTGAGAGACGTGGGGACACCGTTGGGAGACGTGGAGACACACTTGGGAGACGTGGAGACACACTTGGGAGACGCGGGGACACACTTGGGAGACGTGGAGACACACTTGGGAGACGTGGAGACACACTTGAGAGACGTGGGGACACCGTTGGGAGACGTGGAGACACACTTGGGAGACGTGGGGACACACTTGGGAGACGCGGGGACGCATTTGGGAGACGCGGAGACACACTTGGGAGACGTGGAGACACACTTGGGAGACGTGGAGACACACTTGGGAGACGCGGGGACACACTTGGGAGATGTGGAGACACACTTGGGAGACGAGGGGACACACTTGGGAGACGCGGAGACACACTTGGGAGACGTGGAGACACACTTGGGAGACGTGGAGACACACTTGGGAGACGTGGAGACACACTTGGGAGACGCGGGGACACACTGGGGAGACGTGGAGACACACTTGGGAGACGAGGGGACACACTTGGGAGACGCGGACACACACTTGGGAGACATGGAGACACACTTGGGAGACGTGGAGACACACTTGGGAGACGTGGAGACACACTTGGGAGACGTGGAGACACACTTGGGAGACGTGGGGACACACTTGGGAGACGTGGAGACACACTTGGGAGACGCGGGGACACACTTGAGAGACGTGGGGACACCGTTGGGAGACGTGGAGACACACTTGGGAGACGTGGGGACACACTTGGGAGACGTGGAGACGTGGAGACACACTTGGGAGACGCGGGGAAACACTTGGGAGACGTGGGGACACACTTGGGAGACGTTGGGACACACTTGGGAGACGCGGGGACGCACTTGGGAGACGCGGAGACACACTTGGGAGACGTGGAGACACACTTGGGAGACGTGGAGATACACTTGGGAGACGCGGGGACACACTTAGGAGACGTGGAGACCCACTTGGGAGACATGGAGACACACTTGAGAGACGTGGGGACAACGTTGGGAGACGTGGAGACACACTTGGGAGACGTGGGGACACACTTGGGAGACGTGGAGACACACTTGGGAGACGCGGGGACACACTTGGGAGACGTGGAGACACACTTGGGAGACGTGGAGACACACTTGAGAGACGTGGGGACACCGTTGGGAGACGTGGAGACACACTTGGGAGACGTGGGGACACACTTGGGAGACGCGGGGACGCATTTGGGAGACGCGGAGACACACTTGGGAGACGTGGAGACACACTTGGGAGACGTGGAGACACACTTGGGAGACGCGGGGACACACTTGGGAGATGTGGAGACACACTTGGGAGACGAGGGGACACACTTGGGAGACGCGGAGACACACTTGGGAGACGTGGAGACACACTTGGGAGACGTGGAGACACACTTGGGAGACGTGGAGACACACTTGGGAGACGTGGGGACACACTTGGGAGACGTGGAGACACACTTGGGAGACGCGGGGACACACTTGAGAGACGTGGAGACACACTTGGGAGACGCGGGGACACACTTGGGAGACGTTGGGACACACTTGGGAGACGCGGGGACGCACTTGGGAGACGTGGAGACACACTTGGGAGACGTGGAGACACGTGGGAGACGTGGAGACACACTTGGGAGACGTGGAGACACACTTAGAAGACGTGGAGACACACTTGGGAGACATGGAGACACACTTGGGAGACGTGGAGACACACTTGGGAGACATGGAGACACACTTGGGAGACGTGGGGACACACATTTGGTAGACACGGGGAAACACTTGGGAGACGTGGAGACACACTTGGGAGACGTGGAGACACACTTGAGGGACGTGGAGACACTTGGGAGACATGGAGACACACTTGGGAGACGTGGAGACACACTTGGGAGACATGGAGACACACTTGGGAGACATGGAGACACACTTGGGAGACGTGGAGACACACTTGGGAGACATGGAGACACACTTGGGAGACGTGGGGACACACTTGGGAGACGTGGAGACACACTTGGGAGACGTGGAGACACACTTGAGAGACGTGGAGACACTTGGAAGACATGGAGACACACTTGGGAGACGTGGAGACACACTTGGGAGACATGGAGACACACTTGGGAGACACGGGGACACACTTGGGAGACGTGGAGACACACTTGGGAGACGTGGGGACACACGTGTGGAGACACGGGGAGACGTGGAGACACCGTGTCTCCACACGTGTGTGTACATGTCATGGTACGCGCTTTGTGTCTACACGCTGTGTCTACACGCTGTGCGTGTACACGCTGTGTGTGTACACGTTGTGTGTACAAGTGGTGGTATACGCTGTGTGTGTACACACTGTGTGTGTACACGCTTTGTGTGTACACGTGATGGTGCACGCGGGGTGTACACGCTGTGTGTACTCGTGGTGGTACACACTGTCTGTACATGGTGTGTGTGTGTACACGCTGTGTGTGTACACGCTGTGTGTGTACACGCTGTGTGTGTACACACGCTGTGTGTGTACACACGCTGTGTGTGTACACGTGATGGTACACGCGGTGTGTACACGCTGTGTGTACTCGTGGTGGTACACACTGTCTGTACATGGTGTGTGTGTGTACACGCTGTGTGTGTACACGCTGTGTGTGTACACGCTGTGTGTATACATGCTGTGTGTGTACACGATGTGTGTGTAAACGCTGTGTGTGTACACGTGGTGGTACATACTGTGTGTTTACACGCTGTGTGTGTACATGTGGTGGTACACGCTGTGTGTGTACACGCTGTCTGTGTACACGTGGTGGTACACGCTGTGTGTGTACACGTGGTGGTACACGCAGTGTGTGTACACGTGGTGGTACACGCAGTGTGTGTACACGTGGTGGTACACGCTGTGTGTGTACACGTGGTGGTACACGCTGTGTGTGTACACGTGGTGGTACACGCTGTGTGTGTACACGTGGTGGTACACACGCTGTGTGTGTGTGTACACACGCTGTGTGTGTGTGTACACACGCTGTGTGTGTGTGTACACGTGGTTGCTCCACGCACCTGGCGATGAGGCGCGTGGAGGAGGCGTCTCCTGCTCGATCAGCATCGCGACCTCACAGCTCATGGCTCACGGCGGGTCCCGGGTAAGGCCCCCTCCCACCCCCCCCCCCCCCCCCTCTTGAGGAAGACCCCCTGAGTGAGGTCCCTCGGATGAGGCCCCTGGATGTGGTACCCGTGGGGCCCGGTTGAGGTTCCTTGGATGAGATCACCTTGGGTCGGGGTTCCCTTCGCCAGATTCCCAGAATGAGAGGGACATTGAATAAAGTCCCGTTGGTTAGACCACTGGATGAGGACTCTTAGATGAGGTACCCTAGTTGAGATCACCTTGATGAGACCACTGGATGAGCTCCCCTGGATGAGAACTCCTGGATGAGGACTCCTGGATGAGGGCCCCTGGTTGAGCTCCTCTGGTTGAGAGGTCTCCTGGATGAGGTCCCCTGATTGAGGTCCTCTGGTTGAGCTCCTCTGGTTGAGAGGTCTCCTGGATGAGGTCCCCTGGTTGAGCTCCTCTGGTTGAGAGGTCTCCTGGTTGAGCTCCTCTGGTTAAGCTCCTCTGGTTGAGAGGTCTCCTGGATGAGGTGCCCTTGTTGAGCTCCTCTGGTTGCGAGGTCCCCTGGTTGAGCTCCTCTGGTTGAGAGGTCTCCTGGTTGAGCTCGTCTGGTTGAGCTCCTCTGGTTGCGAGGTCTCCTGGATGAGGTCCCCTGGTTGAGCTCCTCTGGTTGAGCTCCTCTGGTTGCGAGGTCTCCTGGATGAGGTCCCCTGGTTGAGCTCCTCTGGTTGAGAGGTCTCCTGGTTGAGCTCCTCTGGTTGAGCTCCTCTGCTTGCGAGGTCTCCTGGATGAGGTCCCCTGGTTGAGCTCCTCTGATTGAGCTCCTCTGGTTGAGAGGTCTCCTGGATGAGGTCCCCTGGATGAGGTCCCCTGGTTGAGCTCCTCTGGTTGAGAGGTCTCCTGGATGAGGTCCCCTGGTTGAGCTCCTCTGGTTGCGAGGTCTCCTGGATGAGGTCCCCTGGTTGAGCTCCTCTGGTTGCGAGGTCTCCTGGATGAGGTCCCCTGGTTGAGCTCCTCTGGTTGAGAGGTCTCCTGGATGAGGTCCCCTGGTTGAGCTCCTCTGGTTGCGAGGTCTCCTGGATGAGGTCCCCTGGTTGAGCTCCTCTGGTTGCGAGGTCTCCTGGATGAGGTCCCCTGGTTGAGCTCCTCTGGTTGCGAGGTCTCCTGGATGAGGTCCCCTGGTTGAGCTCCTCTGGTTGAGAGGTCTCCTGGATGAGGTCCCCTGGTTGAGCTCCTCTGGTTGCGAGGTCTCCTGGATGAGGTCCCCTGGTTGAGCTCCTCTGGTTGCGAGGTCTCCTGGATGAGGTCCCCTGGTTGAGCTCCTCTGGTTGCGAGGTCTCCTGGATGAGGTCCCCTGGTTGAGCTCCTCTGGTTGAGAGGTCTCCTGGATGAGGTCCCCTGGTTGAGCTCCTCTGGTTGCGAGGTCTCCTGGATGAGGTCCCCTGGTTGAGCTCCTCTGGTTGAGAGGTCTCCTGGATGAGGTCCCCTGGTTGAGCTCCTCTGGTTGAGAGGTCTCCTGCATGAAGTTGCTGCCCGTCCACTCGTTTCCCCAGGGCTCCTCTGCCTCTTCTTATAGCGGCGACCCCTCCCCCCACTCCCCCCGCCCCCACTCCCCCCGAGCCCCGCCCCCCTCCCCCGGGATTAGGAGCTCTGAGTGGATAGGGGAATGTCGATTGGACGCGCGCGGCCTGCGGAGCGAGCCTCGCATTTCACACTCACACTTATACACACATACACACTTACATACACACTTACATACACACACACTTACACACTCACACTTATACACACATACACACACACATACACACTTACACAATCACACTTATACACATACACACTTACATACACACTTACACACATACACACATACACACATACACACTTACATACACACTTACACACATACACACTACACACACATACACACTTATACACACACACTCACACTTATACACACACATACACACTTACATACACACTTACACACATACACACATACACACTTATACACACATACACACTTACATACACACTTACACACATACACACTTACATACACACTTATACACATACACACTTACACACATACACACTTACATACACACTTACACACATACACACTACACACTTACACACTCACACTTACACATACACACTACACACACATACACACATACACACTTATACACACATACACACTTACACACATACACACTTACATACACACTTACACACATACACACTTACATACACACTTACACACACACACTACACACACATACACACATACACACATACACACTTACATACACACTTACACACACACACTACACACACATACACACATACACACATACACACTTACATACACACTTACACACATACACACTTACACACTCACACTTATACACACATACACACTTACATACACACTTACACACATACACACTTACACATACACACTACACACACATACACACTTACATACACACTTACACACATCCACACTTACACATACACACTACACACACATACACACATACACACTTATACACACATACACACTTACACATACACACATACACACTTACATACACACTTACACACATACACACTTACATACACACTTACACACATACACACTTACACAATCACATACACACATACACACTTACATACACACTTACACACATACACACTTACACACTCACACTTATACACACTTACACACTTACATACACACTTACACACATACACACTTACACAATCACACTTATACACATACACACTTACACACATACACACTCACATACATACTTACACACATACACACTTACACACACACACTTATACACACATACACACATACACACTTATACACACATACACACACACACTCACACACACACATACACACATACACACACATACACACATACACACTTATACACACACACACATACACACTTACACACATACACACTTACACACATACACACTTACACACATACACACTTACACACATACACACATACACACACATACACACTCACACTTATACACACACTCACACTTATACACACATACACACTTACACATACATACACACATACGTACACACATAAACATACACACATAAACATACATACACACATACACACTTACACACTTACACACATACACACTTACACACATACACACATACACACTCACACTTATACACACTTACACATACACACATATACACACATACACACTCACACTTATACACACATACACACTTCAACAACAACCGCCATTCGCCACTAAGTGGCGGTGACGTCACCACTACGCTTGTGCCAGGCTAGGTGCACCTTGAGGCCACGTGAAGTGTCGAACGCCCGCTGGCAGGAGGTCACGTGGCAGACCCAGGTGCCACGGGTCGACTGACTGAGATGACTGGCGGATGCACCACCTGTGCCCCCTACTGTGCCAACATGCTGTGCTTTAGCCACCCGGCGCTCCGCTCGTTGTTCTGAGCGTCGCTTCTCCGCCCTCCGTTGTTGTTGGAGGGCGACTGCCTCCAACTGCCCAGTAGCATCCTTCACGAGCCTCCTCCACAGAGGCCGATCTTGACACCGCTGGTACCAGTCATCGGCAAGTCCACTCAGCTCCACGTCCTCCTGTACCACATCACTCCATCTCTTCTCTAGCCCGTGCCGCGCCCGCTTAGCCCCCTCAATCCGGCCGAACAAAAGCTGTTCCGGCATGCGGTGGCTGGGCATGCGGTGGCTGGGCATGCGGTGGCTGGGCATGCGGTGGCTGGGCATGCGGTGGCTGGGCATGCGGTGGCGGGCATGCGGTGGCTGGGCATGCGGTGGCTGGGCATGCGGTGGCTGGGCATGCGGTGGCTGGGCATGCGGTGGCTGGGCATGCGGTGGCTGGGCATGCGGTGGCTGGGCATGCGGTGGCTGGGCATGCGGTGGCTGGGCATGCGGTGGCTGGGCATGCGGTGGCTGGGCATGCGGTGGCTGGGCATGCGGTGGCTGGGCATGCGGTGGCTGGGCATGCGGTGGCTGGGCATGCGGTGGCTGGGCATGCGGTGGCTGGGCATGCGGTGGCTGGGCATGCGGTGGCTGGGCATGCGGTGGCTGGGCATGCGGTGGCTGGGCATGCGGTGGCTGGGCATGCGGTGGCTGGGCATGCGGTGGCTGGGCATGCGGTGGCTGGGCATGCGGTGGCTGGGCATGCGGTGGCTGGGCATGCGGTGGCTGGGCATGCGGTGGCTGGGCATGCGGTGGCTGGGCATGCGGGCTACATGATCCAGCCAACGCAGCCTTGCCTGCCGGAGAAGCTCACCGATGGGAATGTGTCCAGATCTTTCAAGGGTTTGTGAGCCTCCCCACACGATGCAGCCTAAACCCAGGGTGGATCGTCGGCAGGCCAGCCTAAATGTTTAAACAGGCGCAGATGTTCCATTGGAGCACTTCACTTTTCGCAAGCGTAGAGAAGGGAGGGCGTGACTGTGGCCGAAGCTTAGTGCGGAGCGACAGACCAGGTAGCTTCTAGGGCAGCAGTGTTACGCAACCGATGAAAAGATATTGCCGCTCGGCTGATTCGGAGTGAGACCACCGCTGCCAAACAGAACCACACACGCACATCCACGCAGCAAAGACAAAGACCCCCCCTCCGTGTAGCCTTTTAAGAGACTGTTGGGGCAAGTGCTGTTAGCGAGCAGCACCTATGAAAGGCTGACAGGGCACACGAGGGGGTGGGTGGCCAACACCACGCCCGACCGCCTTTGTCTCCCCAGCGGCGATGTTTACTACACATCGCGCCAGGTACTCATTTGAGGCTGAGTCGACCTAGGGGAGGCCCAGGATCGGGTTCAGATTAATCGTCACCGGTGTTGCGTGCGGTGCCTCCTCACACGTGGGCGCCCTAACCGTCCGCACGTTGCCTGTACGTTGAACTTCTTTCGCACCGTACGTAGCCAACCGTACAAATCGGAGGTGCGGGGGAAGGACGACTAAACTAAGGGGGGCGGGGCCTG